AGGTCCGGCTCGCCATCGACGACGCCAAGCCCTACGCGGTCCTCCTCGTCCGCCACCTCGCCCTGCGGGTGGCGATGCAGGTCGACGCGCGCAGCCCGTGCGCGGGGGAGGAGGTCTTCGCCACCGACACCCTCCGCCGCCCGCTCGGCGGGGTCGTCTTGCCGGACGGGTCCGTTTACGTCCTCGACGTGGGCGGCCCGCTGCTCGTGTGGGAGGGGATGTGGGAGGCGCACCCTGTGAACACCTGCGCAACGGTTCGCCGCCCGTCCGACTCCCTCGCGTTTACCGGCTCTACACAAGGAAGCACTGGAAGTGGTAGTAATTATAATGATAACGCGTTGCTTCGAGTCGACGACAACGATGAGGAAGATATCGAAGTGCGGCTCTTGGGCCTCCTTCGCGCGGTCCTCGCCGACAACAACGTCGTCACCATGGATGACGCGATATTAAACATCAGCGACGAGATAGCCATTACTCGACGCTTTCATCCTAGCAACTGGGCTCGCACGGACCTCGACGCGGAAGATGAAAACATCATCCTGCGGCTTTCTCGCCAGCTGCGTAGACGTCAGCAATCACATCGGCGTTTGGTACTCGCCGCCTTACGAAACGAGTCGATACTCGCTGTCTTGCAGGCGGAAGCGATCGCGCAGCTTTTATCGACGCAAGAGTCGCTGCTTAGCATGGTCGCGATTCGCGCCATGCAGAACGCGGGCACACTCATCGACCTCGTTCAGCCCCATTCGAAACTGTACGCAAGCAGTTACGCCACGATCAAGCCTCTTTTTTCGATTGATGATGAGTATAAGACCGCAAAGCTTGTCCAGGGTGCGAAAGAAATGGAGCGCTGTCAGAGGGTGGTGCGGTGTGGTATTCTTCGCACCGCGCATCAGCTACGGCGGGAATCCGTAGAAGGCCTTAATAAGAATAATGATAATAATAATAATAATACTGCTATTTCATCAGCAACAGCGGTTGAGCTTGTCTTTTCTCATCCGCATCATTTTGTTTTATTGCTCCACCATATCGCGGAGTACCTCGATGAGGTCATTCAAGGCGTGCTAAAGAGCCCTGCCGAGAAGTTCGCCGAGGCGTACGCTGTGGCGTGCATCTTCGTCGTCGCCGCGCAGGCTATCGTGGAATCGCGTGAGGCACTTCGCGAGAGTTATATCATGCCATCAGAGGTAAAATCTCTGCTTTGGAGCCATTCGAGCGATCGGGAGACTGGCCTACATTTGATTTTTTCTCACGTCTGCATTTCCCTCTCCAAAGCCCTCGCGGACGTCATGACCACGACGCCGCTGCAGGAACCCGCCGATCTCGCCTGCTCTGCCAGGAATCGTATCACGGATGGTTCCTATGGCGGGGGGGGGATGACAGGTTGGGGTAGCAGCGCGCAGTGCGAGCTAGCCGATTTAATCGCCTACCTCCTCTACTTCACCCTCGACTGCCAAAACAACGACAGCCCGGCGTATTTCAGCAACGCGCTCCGCCAGACGCTGCTGCGAGCGCCTTTTGTTTGCGAGCCCTTCGGCTACCCTTTCGGGGCCCCTCAACCCGCACCGGGGGGAAAAGGGGGGAATTCGATCGTCGCCACGCACATTATTCGCCTGGTCGAGCACCTCGCGCTCGTTTTGGGGGCGGAGGAGGTGATTATGGCGCTCGCCCTCGGCGAGGTGATAGAAGATCCGCTTTCAAGCGAAAGAGGGGGGTGCTATCGGGTGCTCAAGGCCTATTGCCGGCGCTCACCGCGCGTGTTGAGCTTTGCCCTTGACACCCTGCTCAAAGAAGGACGAGAGTGGGAACTGCTTTGTCTGCCCGCTGCGCTTTCGGATGACAACGAAGAAAACGAACGAGATGGCCTTTCCAAGGAGGCGAAGGAGTTGCGGGATCGGCTGCTGGAGCAGCGCGCGCCGCATCTTTTATGGCTGGCAGCGCCAGAGCAGTTTGAGGGCCTCGTGGCCGAGGGCACAGCACAGGCGCCACGGGTTATTAGCTATGGAAAAAATACCCTTTCGCATCGCCGGCGCTGTCTTTCATTAGGAAAGCTCGCGTGGATCGCGGCGGGGGCACCAGCGTCGGGCGCGTTCGCCGCGCTCGACCTCGACGAGGCGGTCGTGGATGCGCAGAAGTTTTTATCGCCAGACTGCGATGAGGCGATTTTAGGACCCCAAGAGATCATACAGCGTCTGCTCTCGCTCGAGAACCCTTCGGCGTGGATCGCGGCCGCGCAGGTGGCAAGTAAAACCACCCAATCCCTCTCAGAGGATCTGTTGGTGCAGTGCATGCGGCGATGTAAAGCGCACGATGCCGATCGACTGACCTTAGCGCGGCAGGAAAGCGTCAGCGAGCTGGAGACCTCAAACTACCTGCGAGAAACCGCTGTGGGACAATTGATTTTGGCATGCCGACCTCTTCAGCAGCCTGAGGTTCTAGAACGTATCAGCCAGACGGTTCTTTCGCCAGAGGAATACCACCTTCTGTCGTCGTGGTTGCTTGCAATATGGAGTGGGAATGGGGTTTGATTAAAAAAAAATAAAGGGGAAAAAGGGGTTTAATTCCGAACAAGCTAGGGTTCTGGGTTAACGAAGCCTCGTTAGCTTCTTCGTGGTGGTGAATTTAAAAAAAAAGGAACAGAATAGCTATCAAAGCCAAATCTTTCTGTTCCGAAATCCGGCAGGTAATCGAAGGTTTACTAAAGCTAAATAATAAAAAGGTCAATAGGGCTCAGTACGGCAGAAAGGATTTAGAAAAAGAACATACCGGGTAACGTTCAGCCCCTGTTTACACAAAAGCAGCAGCCACAGCGGGTACCTCTCGATGATGCCGATTTCTAGGGGGATCTTTTCTCAATATATGTGCGCAGGAAAATATTTTGGTGTTGTTTTAATCTACAAAGGGTGGTCTCAACAGTGTTGGCTTCTCTCTATCGCACACTCTCTCCTTTGTCCATCTTTATGTATCTATTGTGTATAGCTCTATACATGTATGTATATTAGTCTGCAAGAAGGGTCCTTCTTACACATATCGAACCTCGTATCTCTGTTTCATTCTACACACACACACACACACATAAATTGGTGCGGTGTGAGGGAACGGTTTATTTAGATTTCGTCCTGCAGGTTCTTTCAACTCCATCGCGGGTAGGTAAGATGCCGTTCTGGAATAAAAAAAGTAGTTGGGGCGCTAGCAGTACCAATACCTCTATGCCGCTTTTCATATCGCGTAACTCGCAAAAAAGCGCATCTGAGTCGTGTGAACCGATTCAACATGCGAACGTTTCGGAGATTAGTGATGAGAGCATCCAGAAAGCTCTCAAACTATATGAAAGACGTGGAAAGCAACTCATCATCCGTGAGGAGAAAGCTCGCCAGGTCCTCGTCTCGGAAGAGAAGATGGTGTACGCAGACTTTGTGGCGAGCGAGAAATTCGACAAAGGATCAATTCTAATTTTCCTCCAATTTCGTGATGCGGCGGTCAATGAAGCAGAAACGAAGTGGCGTCAGCAGAAGCAGTGGATGGAATACCGCCTGCTGGGCCAGATGCGGAGTACCCTGGAAGAGGAGACAGCGATACGCCAAAAGATCATTCGCCTCGAGGGACGTCTATGGCAGACGATCGCGCATCTACACCGAATCGAAAGTACGCCACTACTCCTTGTCATGCGTCTTGTTCAGCTGGTCGAGGCGGAGAAAATGCGGCGATCCTATCTAATGAGTGTGGAAATATCTGAGGCATTAGCTATGAATATTCCAAACTACATGCCTTCATTGATCTGCGCGCATGTGAGAGGCCCGGTAAGAAAAAAGATCGACTATTTGTCAAATGAACGGTGTCCCTTCGTGTGTCGAGAGGAATGCCCTTATTACACAAAAAAGCTAATTGCATCAAACTCAGCCAGAGGACCCTCAGTCAAAGCAAATGCACATCTTTCCGATGACGATGATGCGAATATACGCTTCCTTCGCTATTCTACTTTGCACAAAGGTCACTATAAGCATCATTATAGTAACACCGCGATGAAAATATATAAATAAGCACCTGTATAGTTTGTGTTTGAAATTAATTGCAGTTTTCAAGAATTTATTTGATGTAAATTTAGATTCACAACGAAACTCTGCGTTCAAATTGTCTTTTTTTAATAAAAACATAGACTCAGATGAATTCCCGATTAGATGCTAATCATATTTTGCAACGTAGAATCCTGAAGCTTACTTATTGTCCCTTTTACTTTTTTTTTGTAGGGACGCCAGTGGAGGTGAAGGTGCTCACGAATGCACCGAATCCGCTATACCTTTCAATCCATTTTCACAAAATATGATTAACACCATTTTTTAATGCTTCGAATGCGTAAGGGGGAACGTGCCGACAGCCCCGCCGAGGAGTAAATCTATCCCATCCAACTGTGTAAACACTTTACACACGCAGCCGAGTGGTGTGCGTTCATGTCTGCGTATGTGTTAGGCTAAATTTGAATAAATACCCCCCACCCATCTCCGTAATGTATAGTCTTCACCTATCGGCGGAAGCCATGGCTTTGCATTCCTTATTAAATTATGTGTGATGATTAAAGAAATTTTAACGACGAGCGGACCGATGCACACACAAACTGCATGAGGACCATTTGAAT